TTTACACAGACGTAAAGAATACTAATTTTGGTACATAAAGAAAACTTATGACGTCCAAAAACAGGTTTAAATAGCAAATACATTTTTTAGCGTTGAAATGATAAAGAATTGAGGCGTTTATGAAAATCCTAATGGAATAATATGTTGACAATTAACCATTTTAATTTGAGATGTCTATAGGTACAAACCATGTACCTTACATTGTTAACAACAGCGTATTTTGCTAAATAAACAATTATTATGTAATTTTTTTAAGTTTAATTTTCAAATACATTCCATTAGAACTTGTCAAAGATGATCAAGTCAGACTTTTGGATGTTTCTTTGAAGGTATCTCAAAACGGCTGAACGATCTCTATGAAATTTGGCATACATATAGTACATAATCTGGAAAAACGCATAGGCTATTAATTAAATATTTTTTTAATTCTGCACACACGTAGTCGCGGGCGACAGCTACTAGATTTATAAAATAGCGATGATATGATTAAAATAACGAAGTAGAAACTCAATAACTATTAAGTACAACGTAAATAAAGTACTTTTGATTGAATATAATTAATGAAATTCGCTAAAATTACTTGTTCATTTTAAGTGTTAAAAAAATACACGCGCTAGAACAACGAGGTCGTTCAACGGCCCCGAACAACCGGTGATAGCCGGTTGTACTTAGGGCTGTCACTTCTTCGGATTTGACCAGAATTCTCAATGGTTTACGTATATTCAGGAAATGGATTTCATATTGAAGGCTTCGGGCCAGATTGATTGATATAAATCAAGTAATAAAGTGTTTTTTAAGTAATGACGTCATTAGCTTAGGATCAAGGAGTACAAACCAATGAACGTCGATTTTTCCAAATGTTTGTTATGTAGTTAATCAACGCCTTCAAATGTATTGTATTCAATATTTCTTAAAAAGTGTCAGCCCTATTTATAGTTAGTAATAAATCAGTATGCAAATATTATTTAAATAAATTCTTTAAGACATAGTGCAATATTATACCACAAAATGCAAGTTATAGATACCTACTTCAACTTCGTATAATTAAATTTTATTATAATTTGGTACCAGGAAGTTCGAGTGGGTCGCCGGGAGCGCGCGCAGGTCGCCGCTCCTCTCTCGCACTGACGCCGGAAGATGAGCCTCTAGTCGACGTCGCTGTAAGTACATCATTTATCGTCATATAATATAACCTTTGTCTTACACAGCTGCAAACCTACAAACAAAAATCATTTAGTTAAAGAGAGGAACTTTAAGTTCTTCTTCTTCTTCTTCTAGGTCCACAGCCCTTTGTGGGTCTTGGCTTGGTCCAGCACCTTTGAACTTAGAGTTAGATTAGTTAATAAAGTGATAATTGTCTGGACGTCGGTGTTCAATTTACCATGACTTTATAATTTATCATCTTTACAAGTAAAATGTTAATAAAGAAATGGAAACCAACGGTTAACTCCGCGTAAACTCCGTACATAAAAATGTATTTAAATTATCCAAAGACAGTGAGACATAATACTAAACTGATATAAAAACGGCTAAACACTCACGTACATTCATCCGGTGGCGGCACCGACTAGTTTCGAGCCCATCGGGGGCCCTTCATCAGGATGAGTGGTACTGGTATCATTTCGCGGACGCGGCCCTCAGCTCACTGACTGATTGTTTAGCCGTTTTTATATCAGTTTAAAATGTATTTATCTAGCAAAATATTATATAGAATATTTACTGTCTAACTTGAAATATGAAAATCAGACACGTTCAATACAAATTACTTTGTATGTATATAAAATAATTCATGACAACAGGACATAATTGAAGAGCAAGAACATAAATTCATTGATTCGATCGACATGAAAAGATTAAACGATAAGTGATGTACGTCGCTGACGTATCGATCCGATAACCCGTTTCTATTCGTCGTATTTTATGACGTCGACACGCAATCCGAATAAATTACTCGGTGAATTTAAATAAAAGCCTACAGAAGCTTCATATGGAATCGATTTCAATCGGTTTTTAATCGAATAAATTTTTATTTGATTAAAAAGGTACGATGATACGTTTACTCTTAATTTTTTTATAATCGTATAATATTTTTATTATAATTTATTTAAAACGTATTGTTATCACTGTTTTATCAAAAATAATGACAATGATGAAAATACGTTTTCGGCAGAGATTTTGGTCTCAAAAACCAACCGTAAATCCATTTCATATGAAGTAAATAAGGTACTTGTCATTTCTCTTTTAGGGTTCCATACCTCGAAAGAAAAGAAACGGAATCCTTATAGGATCCCATTGTTGTCCGTCCGTCTGTCTGTCGCGACCCTTTTCTCAAGGATGAGTGAAGATATCAAGCTAGAATTTATTGTTATTATTTAATATCCTGTTACTCTATTGCTTATTTGAAATGGTGAATAGAACGTAATAGCAGCCAATTCATCATGACAATGATCATAAATTATGTATGATTGATCGATGGACATTTAAGATATTGTTTAGTTTCTAAAACTAATTAGAAAATTATAATCTTTTTGTTATTTAATAATCAATGAAAATTATCAAATTACAACTATGAGTTTCCACTGCGGACACGTGTAAAAACATATCTTCATCTCTTTAGATATTAAAAGATAATAACATGTTTTAATCAATCACTAAAGTAATTAAGACGTCGGTGGCTCAGGGGTCAAGCACTTGACTTGCAATCTGCAGGTCCTGGGTTCGAATCCCGCCATGTACCAATATGTTTTTCTATTTCCGATTTACTTATGTACATTTATCCGACGTTCTTACAGTGAAGGAAAACATCGTGATGCAACCTGCACATATCTGAGAAGAAATTCAAAGATATGTGTGAAGTCAACCAACCCGCACCCTTAACTTAGGGTAGGCTCCGAGCCCCTCGGTGGGGACGTATAGTGAGCTGATGATGATGATGAAAGTAATTAAAACGGCTTAACTAACGTACGAATTCCGGTACCACTAATTTCGGATCCTTTCGGGGTCCATCTTCAGGCCAAGTGTTTATTTTGGTTTCTTTACTGAATGTCTCACGAAAGTTTAAACCAGTCTTTCCCAAAGTGGTCGATAACGCCCCCTTGTGGGCGCTGCAGGTCTCAAGTTGCGGGTTATAGTAAAAGTTTCGTTTAGAATTCTCCGTTAATATACATATATAGGTCACAATAATTAATTAATTTAATTTTAAGTTAAAGTGGTTTTTAAATATGTGAAAATATGGGGGCGCTAAAAAAATATTTATTCTCAAAGTGGGCAGTAGACAAAATAAATTTGGGAACCACTGGTTTAAACGATGATTTTCCACTTGTAATATTTACAAGTGGAAAATCATAGCAAATGCCATCAAATATTAAACTAAACACGTGACACTGCAGTAAAAGATGACAATCAGGATAAATTTAGTTCATTACGTCCGTACAATCTTTTAATACGTAATCATTCACATCTAAATCTGATAAAATTTCAACATCAAGTATAAAATAATAACATTATAGATCCTATCATAGATATTACCTGTAAATTACAATTTATAGAAATACTAGCTGTCGACCGCGACTCCATCCGCGCAGAATTAAGAAAAAAACAATAATAAGTAGCCAATGTGTTCTTCCAGACTACGTTCTACATCTAGGCCAAATTTCATCAAGACCTGCTGAGTCGTTTGCGAAATATATTATAACAAACACACATACATACATTTAAACTTTCCCACTTATAATATTAGTAGGGCCAGCTAATGTCTCGTTTATATTCAATAACTTTGTAGTTCTTTTTAGATTTTCATCTTAGCTTAGTTAATAGTTTCGTCCTTTTCTTTATCTATTTCATCTCTTAATTTTAGTTATAAATTATGTTGATATTATGATATAACGTTTTATTATTTTTTCCCATTAAGTTATTAATTTTTTAAACTGACGTAAGATATAAACTATACAGACAGACAAAATACTTTTATTTTAGATTACATAATTCATTTTACATTTACTTTTGTATATGAAATGATTTTTTGTGATTTGCAAGTATCTAATCAATTGAAAAAGACGCGAGCTCCTCTGTAGAGACGAGTCTATATGACCTGATTACATCTACTTAATTATAAATTCATGCTGTCAGTCTGTATATATTCATGACAATGAATGCACATAAAGGTAAGGGAAGACCGGAGAAAATATGGATAGATTTTGTGCAAAAGACAATTTCGACCCAAATAGGTCCCTCTGAGTAAGGTCCCTAAGGGCCCTGCCTAGATTTGGGTAATGAGTCGGGAAAAAATGACGTATAAGCTATGGTCCAGACTTCCATTGCAATTTCGGTAAACAATATTCCTGTTCGAAACATTCCAAGGTATAAGTAGTGATGTCCTCATGTGTGTGTATGATTAAATGAATTGATTATTATCAGTATGCGTCACGTCACTAGTTGATATCATGTGAAAATATCAATGTTATCAGTACTGCACGATGTGACAGAAACAGCTAATTGTAGAGATGTCTCAGTATAATTATAAACGACTAGCGAATCGTCCGCGGAATTGTCATTTTCCACGTGTTTATTTCACAAATTTCCTTCCTCGATTGTTGAAAATATTTAAAGTAAACAAAATTTAACCACTGATCTCTTTTAAATACTCCATAATTTAGAATCTTTAGTAAAGTTTGCAAACAGTGATATATTTGAATCTTAAAGTGTAATTTTTTTTATTTTGATTAACAATAAGTGCCAGTGCTATTAAAAATATTATAAGAATAAATATTATTACGTGTTCAAGTGAAAACATCAGTGCAATTAAAAAGATACAAAAAGCGACTGTATTGAAATAATAGAATAAGAATTAAAATAATGAGGATTATTATTTTAATCAAACAAATTAGAGATAATTAAAAACATGTGACTGTGCCAAAGTTGTATCAAAATTAGTGTGGAAACAAACACCAAAAGTGGGTAAAAACACATAGTGTAATTAAGTTATATTGTTTGGCTTGACGACTGAATGTTTGTTGTTAAATACAATTAGTTTGATCAGCAATATCCAATATTAGATATGGATATATATGATAGGCTTCTAATCGATACTAGCAAAGAATATTAACCAATATTAATTGGTTCATATTAGAATTAATAAGAACGATTTAGTAGCCTTTGCTGATATCTTCGTATGATTATCGTTCATATCAAGCGATTGCGATACGATTACTAACAGTTCCTTTTAATTATCTATATTAGATCTAATCATTGAAACGTATTTTGAATCGAAATAATATAGAAACAACCATGAAAGACAGTAAGCCGAGTTCAACCATCGGGAACGAAGGTGTAGCAAAGGAACTTAGTTGTTGGGCGAAATTTAAAAGATTCTTTGACGATAGAGGTTTTGATTTAGAATGTGAATATAAAGATGTAAATTCAGTTAATACTGGTGTTGCAATATCGAATAATACAAACGGTTATAGACAATTCGAAGAGATAAATAAGAAAGTTGAATTTCAACCTAAAAAACGTTTATCACGGACCATAGACAAATCAAATGATACGTCAAGTGTTGTCAATTTTTACGATCAACTTGCAAGTTTGAGTGATAACAAGGATAATGAATTATGGAAAAGACCAGCGGTGAATAGACCAAGAGTTTCCGTAAGACCGAGCATATCACTTACGAAAATAGCTGAAGAAATTGTAAGTGATTTAGAAATGGACGAAATTGAAGTGGTAAGTCGTTTATGAATTTAGTCACACTTTTTACAAGACAAACTAAAAAATATATACAAATAGTAAACTTAATAATTGTAACCATTTGAATATAGAATGAAATATTTAAAAATCTTTATTTAAAAATATCGTTTCTAACCTTAAAATATGAATTTCTTGAAATTTTTTGAACTGCCGATTGGTTTCAATTCTTGTTTTTGTGTGTAGTTTTGTCGAGAAAGAAACGTTGCTTTACTCTTTTATTCACTAACTTTCCATCTCTATACTAAATAGTTTTGTCTTTAATATCTAATCTATTTCATTACTAGTTGTCACCCGCGACTCCGTCCGCGCGGAATTAGAAAAAAACTTATTAAGCAGTCTATGTGTTCTTCTAGACTTGTTCTTCCTCTAGGCCAAATTTCATCAAGATAAGTACAAGCGTTCTGGAGATACCTTCTTACATACATCCATCCATCCACCTACACTTTCATATTTATATAGGTATACCAAATTTCACCGAGATCCTTTCAGCCGTTCTGGAGATACCTTCAAACATCCATCCATCTAAATATTCGTATTTATAATATTAGTAAGATTTATAAACAAATTCTCGTTAATTTTATCAATCATAACCATATCTAATATAGTCTAATTCCTCAAAAAGATAATCTCTGAAGATTAAGATTCTACGCGTTGTCTCGCAACTTTGGAAGTCATCTACCAAGTGACTAATAAATAATCTTCATTGATTAAAATTTATAATCGTATGAGGATTTTTTAAATGTATCCATCGCAGTTCTTGATATAAGTTAATTACTTCATTTATCAAAGAATTTATGAACAGTAATAATATACAAATAGTAAGTTATTATAACGAGTTTATATTATTATTACGAGCGTCGGTGGCTCAGTGGTCACTTGACATGCAATCTGCAGGTCCTGGGTTCGAATCCCGCCATGTACCAATGTGTTTTTCGATTTCCGATTTTACATATGTACATTTATCCGACTTTCTTACGGTAAAGGAAAACATACTGATACAACCTGCACGTATCTTAGAAGAAATTCAAAGATATGTGTAAAGTCAACCAACCCGCACTTGGCCAGCGTGGTTGACTATGGCCTAATCACCCTGAACTTAGGGTAGGCTCCGAGCCCCTCGGTGGGGACGTAAGTATCCTGATGTTGAGTAAGTTATTTTGTAATTTTGGCCGGCAACACATCTGCAGTTCCTCTGGTGTTGCAGATGTCTATGGGTGTCTTTGATCACCACGGTGTTCCCGTCGCTCATTGGCCCTCTTCTCTTATAAAAAAATTCTATTAAACATTTCAATATTTTATACTGCTACAATAATGTTAAAGTGGACTATTAAATAATAAATTAGTTAATAGATAATTGTTAATTCATTACGTGGTAGCGGTACTTTTATTGTTCAAGTAATAATGTATCTTACAATCGTTTAGATAAGCGCGGCATTAATAAGCAAAAATAAACGATATTATTTTTAATTTTAAAAAGTGAGTAACAACGTTTAACTAGAGATTAATCGTGAATTAAACTGATTAACCTATCAGAAACCGATGCTAACATACTTCCCCCGCTTGTTCTGTTCCAATTTCAACACTGACATATATGTTTTTCATATGTTTTGGTTGTTTTGAGTTGAAACCATTAAGCCATCGACGTCGAATTAATCTGACCCGGGCGCCGCGTACGTGATATGAATACACTAGTCTAAACAAATCCGACGGCAGTGTGTACTAAATTGTAATTTATAGGTGTGCAAACGTTCGCCGCCGTGTGTACACCGGCCGATTTATTTTGCCGTAAATTAAACGAATAATATCGTGAAGCTCTTAAATCTTGTGGCTTAATTAGAAAATGGAATGTTCCTGTTTTTCTTAAATATTTAACATTGGATTTCGTAGATAATTCTGATGAACGCAAAGATTCACGATCTAAAAATAATTCGTATTAAAAGTTTAAGTTAATTAAAAACTATAAATGTTGTTTTAGGCATTATTAGCTAGAATCCTTTGGCACGAATGACGTGCTTTCGTTACAAAGTCCAGTGTCAGAATGAATAGTGAGGGGACATAAACGTCGACATTTTAGCAAGGCTAGTGTTGAGTCAATACAGTAACTCATTTTCGGATTTACTTCCTAACAAATACTTAGTTTACTATAAAAGCTTCATTATTTAGAAATAACGAACGCTTTTAAAGGTACTATTTCCGTGGGATATATATTATTTTGTTTTTCTCTGGTTTATTATCTATGTAAATATTGTAAATTTGCTACAAAAAAGTTGAGTTTAAATAAAAGTAAAAATCTTTTTAATTTTGCAGTCAGACTACGTTTATAAAATAAATAGGAACGTTTAAATTTCTAAATACTTGAACTTTGTAAGATATAAAAAGCTCTTAAAAGATAAAACAAAAATTAAACGCCGACGTTGATAATTGTAGCGCTTCCTGCTTCTCCTTTTCCCTGCTTCGAGACACAAAAGTATTTTATTTTGATGTATTTTTGCAGTCATTTATATATATTTTTCTGTTCTCATCATATTTCTTTCTCAAGCCGTAGTTAGGGCATTAATATTACATTACATTTCATAAAAACTCTTTTCATTTAAATATCGGGAATTAAGAAAAATAAAAAAATAAACTCTAGTGTAGTGCCGCCAAAGTGAAACTGAACCAAAGCAAAACGAAGATTGTTTTAGAATTGACGTGGATTTGGCTAGTAGAAACGTTTAGCTGTACTACGAGAAATTGAATTCAATACGGAGTAAATTGTGTTTTCGCGTTTCGGTGTTACTTTTCCCTTCACTTACCGTGGGTTCCTGAGACCCAAATCTCCGTTTAAAACATATTGTTATCTCTGTTTTGTTAAAGATAATGGGGATAACGATGCGTTTTATACAGATATTTTGGTCTCAGAAACCAATGGTACTAATCTAACGCGTTTATGTGCTCTGTTAAACCTGTCTTCTATGTTAACTGTCAAAAGCTCATATCCCGGACGCATCGAATTAGATGAACTCGATTAACAAGAATAACAAGTTTTATTTGGGTATAATGGGACGTGAGAGTTTATTATAAATAGTCTTGGCTGTACATCAAATTTACTCAATGCTTAGGCAAGTCAATGAGATCACGTAATCGATCATTAGGAAACTGGTGACTATATAAAAAATATCATACATAATTCATGCGCCCCACCTCTGTACAAATTAACGATCGGAATCTACTCAAGCGTCATTTTAAATCGACATTCGCCGCGCACAAATATTCCAGACCATAAATTAAACAAACGCTTTAAGACAAGGTGACTGAGCGTAAGTTATTCGTTGCAATATTTAATAACCATTAACCATAATTATAGTCATAAATGTTCTTGATTTAGTTTTAAACAACTGATGATTGCGGAATTAAAAAGACTTAATTAGTAGCCTTTGTGTTCTTCCAAACTATTTTCTACATCTATGCTAAATTTCACCGAGGTCCATGCAGGCGTTATCATAAAGTGACTTTTAAGCTTGTACTATATTCAAATAATGATGGTCCGGTGAGAAAGGCTGCTATCGCGGTTATATCTGTCATCAAATATATAAAACCTACATGGCCATATAAAATGGCATAAAAGAAAAAAAACACGACGTGATAGCTATAGTAAGAAAAAGAACTTGTGACATTTTTGACATTGACAGAGGGGCGCTAGTGAGCTGTCATAATTTAGTTTGACTTATGGCCACCGCGTTATCTTTGTCGCTGTATGCCTTTCATACCGTGCAAAAACCTTCTCTGAAAAATGTTCTCTTTCATACAATAAGCTATGTAAATTATTGCATAAACAATAATGATAGACATTGATATAAAACAGAGAGAGAAATATATATAGTATACACGTACCTCAATTAGCTTTTAGTTTCAATGTATAATTCAAAATCAGGGCTACCACATTCATACTTTGGAAATATACAATAACATTTGCTTTTATACATCAAACAGTATGTTAAGCTTTTTTATTATGAAAGTGAAAACATTAAAAAAGGGCTTGACGGACGGACGGACAACAAAGTGATCCTATAAGGGTTCCGTTTTTTTCTTATGAGGTACGGAACCCTAAAAGCACGTTAAGTACAACACACAAGAAGTTCACTACCAAAAAACGAATAGAAATAAAATAAAAATCACAACTTACGATATGTAAGTCATTTTATTCTTGTTTCTCTATTTACCACATTGTAGTTACAAAATTTTAGCGATGAAATCTAATAAAGCTTTTTATGTAGTTCCAGCATTTACTTTCGCTGTTTGATAAAATATTTTGCGTACGTTAGTGGCAACCCTACTTCAAACTATTTGGTGAAAGCATTTATTAATACTTAGAAACTCAAACACGCGGCCCAACCCTTTCACGAGAATGGGTATATCAATCCATCAAATGGGATACATTTATATGGATACATTGATATTAGATGGATTTGAGAAATTCATATTAATGTCTATGTAATGATACATAAATATGTTTCACCCTTAAATACATTAAACGATTCCTAAAACGACACTAAGTGTAGAATTCTTGTAATAAACATTTATTGGGTGACACCCTTAGTGTAATAGTTAATGTTTATAACCTGTTTCTTCCTGATATTCTACTCCTAGATCCTTTGAGGTATAAAGTTAGAAATGAAGTTGCATAACACTATGCAAGTTAGCGCAATATCGCAAAGTAGGGCTGACAAAGTTATATGAAATCGAATACTTCGCGTTGGTTGTAAGTTCTGATGAACGAGAGACTAATCATATTAGAGCTTAGGATACAACACAAATATAAAAGAATATTAACAGTTAATTACCTCAATTAAATAGTAAACAAATATATGAATATATGAAAGTTGCATCAAAATCATATCTTTTTTTTTAGATTGCGTAAATTTCTACTTTAATTTTTCCTATAAATGAACTTCTAACTTCGGTATTTTTGTCGTCTCTAGTGTACGAGATAAATTAAATCTAAATCGGAAGGGTTAAGGGTATGATAGAAACATAAAACTGGATTATCTAAATCAGTCCCTTAACTTTGTTTAAATGCCCTAAAGAAATCCGATCACGATAGCCAACGTTACGAGGGTCGAGTTTTGTATTTTACAAGTTTACACTGATTCAAAGTTCAAAAGAAACATAATACGAATGGCTACTTACATTAATGGTACTTCATTAAAATAACGTAATAAGACAACTTTAAAATTAATATAAAGTTTTCACTATCTCATTTGTAGAAAACAAAAAAAATATGTCAAAGAGAGTGAACTAAATGACAATCTTGTATAATCAACAAAGATCAATCTAACAAAGATGTCTGAGCCGGTTTTTGTCGCGATTAGTTCTCTCAGAAAATAGATAAAACCTACATGAGCATAGAAAGTTACATAAAAAAACATGTTTCCTTCAGAATCTATTCTTTTGACAATTTTTGATTTGGACAGAGGGGCGCTAGTGAGCTGTGATAATTTAGTTTGAGTTATACTCTCCGGGTGAGATATCCTTGTCGGGCTATACTTTTGTTCTATCATCAGAACTCTATATAACCAAACAATGGCGGTAATACGGTTGGTCTAACCCAGTATTATAAAAGAAAATGCAGCAAAACAGAAATGATAGGAATTGAAATTCTATCGCGCTGTACCACAAAATGTATGTGGCTTACAATTTGTACATTCAGAATAGGGGCTTCCGTGTGGTCTGACATAACATTTACATTGTATTCAATGGCGATCCATTACATAAATTAAACTGAAATTACTCTACCCTATCAACTATTTTACAGCTAGAGAGAGTTAGTTCGATTTAGTATTATATATTACATAAGTATACAGTATATTACATAAAAGGATACATCGTTTAATGATTGCGTAATTCACATGAGTTTCGTGAAATCGTTTGCCAACTTTTGAGAAAAAATATTTAATCGGAAAAAAATTTATTATTAAGGAAGAAAGTAGACACAAGTTGTCATAATTTCCTCAAACGTATTCTGGTCTATTTGACAATGTCAAAAATTATGTCAGAATTATCGACAAAAGCAAGAGATTGTTACTCGAGAGTGGACGCGTGTGACTTTAAATCCATTAGGCTTTTGTAATTCGTGACTTCATGTAAAAGTACTAACAATTCGTAACATGACCCAACACGTGTCCTATTTATTAATTAACCAACTCCCTGAAGTTACACTGAAAATAATTAACGGAACTACCCTGTAACTATAAAAGCGGCTAATGGATGCTTTTATGAAACCCGATGTTATAATTGTCCAATTCATGTCGACAACGAACCCCTCTAATTAATCTTGTTGTAATTACATCTGATAGTGTTCTGGTCTAATTTCAAAACCTTAATTATGGCTTTCAAAATATTCCTATGACATCATAAAAAGCATTCAAACAAATACTCCGATACTGACGGTTGACTTGATTGACATTTTACACATTTTTATATATATATATATATATATATATATATATACATTTTTATATTTATATATATATATACATAAATATTCATAACACCTGATTAGTGTGTTAAGTGATACACTAAATTAGCCTGTTACGTCATTAACTTATTAAATTACTAGCGGTGGTCCGCGACTCCAGCCGCGGAGAATTTAAAAAAAAAAATTTTAAAAAGTAGCCTATGGGTTACTCCAGACTATATTCTATACGTTTGCCAAATCATCGAGATCCGTTCACCCGTTCAAAAAAAACAACTACTTTTGTTTTTTTTTAATAATGACTAGCTTTCAAAAATAAGTTTTAGATTCAGCAAAAAATTCAACAAGTCTGAAATTCAATGACGATTTTCTGTAATTTTTTCTACGTGAACATAAAAGATATGACTTCATCCCCGCGTCAAAAGAGATTCGCATTATAACGCTTCGTTGCCTTACTACTTCGACTGTGCTATTTCTTTCATCATTTGAGTAACGAGTGGGAATATCTGACAATTTAATAATTTTGTACCATTTTTACGAGATTCCCTGATATTAGATAAATTCTTTTAACGTTCATAAGTTTACTGTAAATAAATTTAATACAAATCTTCTTATTGAATCTTAGAGAGAGTGGTAACAAAATTTGTCATAAAGCATTTGAGTAGTTTGAATTACGAAATTCTTTTCTGCTTTATATTTTTGCCTTCTAAGAAAATGGTGGGAAAAGAAAAGAATTAGATATAGGCCTACAGCATACACATTTATTGGACCAAACGCGGACCGTTGTATACTTCACACCTGTCCTATGTGTGTTCGTATTACTGCACTGGTTGGCCATTACCGCGGGCACTACCATGCTTGTTTCATGTGTCCCTTAACTTATGTGTATAACACGTGCGTTTCTATCTTTGCAGAACAGATCCCCCCCGCCGTCGTACGTCCCCGCAGCCCTCTTTTACGCGCCGCCGGAGCCGCTTGAGGTAAACTTATTGATTTATATGTCACCGACCAATCATAAATGCCGACCATTTAAAATTTGCCTAGCTTACGCCTAAATCGTAGAGTCGGCATAAAGTTACTTATCGAAGGACATTATTCAGAAATCTTGTTAATTTTGAAACTGCAACATTGCTACCCTGAGAAAAGTATATAATAATTAAAACTCAGTAACTGGATGCCAAAATTTATTTGGCCTTAATTATATAAACCTTTTTAATTCTACGATTTATAAGATATTCACTTTTACACTATTTCACTAATATTCTTAATGTGTGCTTCAAAGTACCGTCGGTTGTGTCCAGTTGGTATGCGTGTTCCCGGAGCGAGGCTCGCGCGTATGTGCGGCGGCATGTGCGGCGGCTGCACGCGCGGGCGGCGAGGCACGCGCGGTTCGCGGAGCTCGGGAGGCGCTGGACACATTCCGGCGCGACGCGGACGCGCGTCTGCCGCACGTCGTTGTGGTAGACGCGCGTCAACCGCAAACTCTTGACGCTACTTTGTTAGCTAGGTACGTAAGTATGTTGATATTTCAACTTTAAATCTTAATTTTAGTTATAATAACCACTTCCACCGTGGTTTTCTGACAAAACATATCGTCATCCCTGTCCTATGTTTTAAACGGAGATTTTGATCTCAGAAACTCACGATAAGAAATGTTCGTCTTTGTAACTTAAAACTAATGCTTCAGTATTAGAATGTAGGAAACTTGAAAAGAGCTGCTTTGTCTTAATTTGATAAGAAGCACTCAATCTGATATTCAATAGTTTCAACACAAATTAACTAATGCCAATAAATCAGTTAAACACATTACTCTGTCGACTTAGATAATTTAATTTTCACTTAAACTTAATGTCGGCAAATCAATACGGTGATGTGCGGCGAGCGGAGTGGTTTGTGCCGACTTTGATGGAGGTCTGTGACCTACATACATGAATCTTTACTTAGTTCCAGGCGTTACAGACTCTCAATAAACTTTACTATTTCAATTCGCAAACTTAACATTTACTTTGTCATCAATTTTGTCTGTAAAGTTCAAGTATAATTTTATAAGTGTAGTAAAAGATAATACGACCGAAATTCTATTTGCATAATATCCTGATTAGTTAACCTAACATTTACCACGACGTACTCAAGGACAGGATTTCCATATATTAAAGATAACAATAGTGACAAGATTTCTCTCTTCAATAATATACATTAAGTTTAACTCTGCTCCGAGATTTCACCCTTTCCAAGGCCGTTTTACCATCTACAGCATTTTGCAGATTTTTCAAAGATATCATAGGGGGCACTGCAGACGCCCCTTTATATCTAACTCAGGTTTCTGCGGTGCCCATTAAGTCCGGCGCCCTGGGCGGTCGAACCAACTTGCCCTACCCTAACGCCGCTACTGCCCATTTCAATATATTCCTAAGCTTACTTACTAAGCTTCTTACTTAATATGTACAGGAAGTGTGGGTACCCGTTTCATAGTTATTATATGATTTGAATTATTAATACAACTACATAATATTTAAATTTCAGTTTTTCTTATTAAGTTCACTTAAATATATCTCATTTTGGCGATATAAATAAATTTTAAGTATTCTGCAGAGTTGTACTCAAACTTATGTATTTTCAAAGTATTAAAAATGTAATAAAAATTCTCCGCAGGATCACACATGAACATTACCGTATTATATGAAAACCACAAGATATATAAAATTAAGCCACATTTCTCATGAACCAAAGTTATTTGACGTAGGTTTGACAGTTGTCTAAGGACCCTTCGGTCCTTTCGAGGTATTTTTATATCACTTGGGAATTAATATGTCCTCTGTCTATTTACACTTAACTTATAACGCGATCCTTTTAATACTTTCCATACTGTTTTACTGTAATCTAAAACAAAGTTTTTCTTATTATATTTTAATGTCTCAAAGATAAACTTACTAGCTGTTGCACGCCACTCCGTTCGCGCAGAATTAAAAATAATATTAACGAGAAAAAGACTGCATACTAATGCAGTATTTTTTTTTCACAAAGGACACAAAGGCTACTAAGCCTTTGTGTTCTTTCAGACTATGTTCTACATATGCCAAATTTCACCGCGATCCGTTCAACCGTTCTAGAGATACCTTCAAGCAAACATCCATCCTTATCCATCCAAACATTTGCATTTATAATATTAGTAAGATTTACAAACATTTTGAGTTTGTCGGTGTTATTCGTTTTTAAATTTAGTTGTTAGTAGTTTTAATTATTTCTTTATAAATGTTTTTTACGTTTCCCCTTATATCTATATTTTATGTCTACACAGAAATCTATCTCTTCAATAACACATAAAAAAATGTTTGAATAGAAATATTTTCTACATTTAAATTCGCATTTCGCATCAATTGATACTCGAAGCCAATTACGAGGACTCGCGAACGTGTAATGCGAGATATACGAGATCTTAGAAAACTCGAGATATCTTTGTTGAAAAGTAAAGGAAAACATGCAGATGTGTATCAACAACTTTGTACGTACATATAATAAGTAGAGCATTTTTAATCTTGATATTTAAATGTTATAATATTGAATATGAATGAAGACGAAGGAAAGTAAAGGTGTATAGTGTGAAAGTAGATATAAGAAAGGAGTAAATTTAGAAATTATGGACGACGTGACCATATATTTTGACTCAAAACGCGACATTGATTTTTTCCGTTCGTCAATGAAAAATTAAACTTTTTTAAGTTCTTTATTTAAATGAAATCTGTATGCTTAAGTTCTTATTTAGACATAAATATAACCGAAACGTTTAGTATGTGTTTATATTTATCAGAGGTTTTGCTTTAAAAAAAGCGGCACAATTTGGAATCCTGGCGTTCATGTCGGGAACACCGGGACTTTTAACTATAAAAAACCGTTCGATCAAAAAAAAAATCAAAATCGGAGCACCATGGGCGGAGTTACGCTGTAACACACATAAAAAAGAACATACAGGTGAATTTATAAACTCCTTTTCGAAGTCGGCTAAAAAGAGACAGTCCCGTTTTTAACGGTGACGTCTGGTCACGTTAAGAGAAGTAGTTCATACTGTGCCGACCCTCTATAGGGACAAGGGGTTTGATGATGATTACGTAATATGATATGATAGTATGGTATACACGTAAGGTTTTAAATGTATAAAAATGTTGAATTAAACATTTTTTTTATTTGTTGCAGAGCTATCAGAGGAATGAAGAACACTCAACATATAGTACTTGTAGCTGTTGTGAAAAAAAGGTAAAATATATATTTGTATATTTATATGTTGTATATTGGAATTGTATGATAACGCTTAATTTGTTTTTATTATCATAAATATTTTTATGAGCTATTCCTAAGAAGTAAACAAAAGACTAACGAATGTTTTTAAACATATTTCATATAATTTTGATTTTATTCCTACTTATGTTATGGTAAACAATGTTCTTTTAAAATGTTTCAAATCGGAGATAAAGTCAAAGACAACTTGGATAAAATAGAATTCTAAGAACAAAGGTTTCATTGTAAATAACAAACAAAGAGAAAACTGTATTTGTCTTTCCATTTTTATAACTGATCTCGTATTACTCGGAATAACCGATTTATTTAATCTTGTCGACTTACAAAAGATTTTTATCAACCAGGAAATTTTCCTCGAAGTCTGAAATGTAGGGAATTTATAATCACCGAGCTTAACGCGTACTTATCAACTTGAGGCACGTCTTTAAAGGTTTACAAACTTTAGTACTCCTTTATACTTTTTTGAAAGTAGGATTCAAAGATGTATCGTTAGTTAAGATTGACAGAAACAGAGCTTAGATTTTTTGAAGCCTTATTCTACGTTTACTAGACTTAGTGGATACGGGAATCGTAATTTTGAATTAAATATTTGTGATATTCTATATTTTAAGTTGGCAATACCAGAGGAGATGTTCAATGTAACCAGTTTAAGGAAAATATATTTACAACACTTATTAAATCGAACAATCTACTTTCGATCTATTTGAGTGATGTAGTCATTACAGCATTATTTTTTCTTATATCTACTCTAAATTGAAAACTTATACTTCATAAAATTCCCACGAGATGTCGCTGTTCATCACACGGAGACAATTGCCGTTTGTTAGCGCCAGATAAAATTAAGTATAATTTAGTTTACATCGCAGCGCTTTGTAACTTAGTTTACTTGTAGAAAAGGATTTTTATAAATTGGTTACAAAGACAATATAATTTTCTGAAAAAAAGAGTTTTATATTTTTAATAAGTTAGCATTACACGTCGAAAAGGTTTTTTTTATGAATAACGTAGACTTATGTTTATCAATTTTAAAATACATATATATAAAAAGACTATGTAGTCATAATCGAGGAATAATATATAAATACTCATCGAATATGCATCCAGTAAAAAGAAGTCTAGCTGGTACATATAATATTACGACCATGAATTGAGTCGTAACATTCTTTAGATGCGGTTAAACGGGATCGATAAACGGTTTGAAAGCATCCATGACATCACTTTAAAGCTGTTAGCAACTATTTTGTGTTACGTACATTTTTTTAAATATTACCAGATTTCTATAAATTTACTAATATTTTTTTAGCATTCCAACTAAGCTCTTAGCTTGTGCTAGGAATTGGTTTACGACAATACTCGAATGGCGGGATTCGAACCCTCGACCTCGTGATCGGAAGTCCGTACCCTTAACCATTAGGCTATTGACACTTCAAACTTTTTTGAACGATACTGGTAATAAAATGTTCTAGTTATTTTAGATGCATGGATATTTCTTCCAGCTTTGTTATCGATAAAGTTAGAATAAATGCAAATAAATATTCGTCTAGTTAAAGACGTCAAAATAACAAAAGTTGTAATTAAAGCGATGACAGCGGATGAAATGGTACCCGTTTTGGCAGCGGGCTGTATTGTTTTATTGTCTCCGGCAATAACTCGACAAACTTTGTTGGTATTTTGTTGTGTACTAGAAGGACCAAGTTTTCCATCGGCGGTAGATTGCTTTCATTTACTCTGATGGTTGATCATTTACTTTCTATTTATATTAATGTATTTTCTTGATTAAAGTACAGTAAAATATTTTATATAACAACCTGCTATTAATATTTTAAATACAGCTTTCGCTTTTCGAAGACTTAATAAAGTTTTTAACGCAAAATCCCTCACAAGTCTAGTGTAGAATTATTATTATTGAAAAAACTCCCCTAAAGGTTTTCCTTAGTGACCAACAACTTTAAGTGCTGCTCGAAGACGTCTAATCATGCCATCATGTGCAAATAGTAGATTACTTTCTATAAAGTGTAAGAACTTTGTGCGCTTAAATAGAAATACCTCGCGAACATTTTAACTGGGGTAATTGCGTGCCTTCAGTTTGTGGAGTAGGCGTGGGCTTAATTCAGAAACTCATTTGCGTTTTACCTCTTATTATTCATACAAGTTGTTAATGGCAACTTAAAAACCTAAAGTTGTCCAAAGTACAAAGAGAGTAGTTATGATCATTGAAAGAGAACATTTCCCCTACCTATACGTTGCCTCCTTCATCAAATCCATTTCCCCTTCCCATCCTTTCCTTGGGCAGAAAGGGTGGAAAGGGAAAAAAGACTCAAATTACTTCCCCTTTATGCCTGTCTTACGTATGGTCGTGGTATTGCATCGGACGAATAAGTTCATTCGTAAAAAAGATATTATTGCGGGCTCTACTACGGTTAAAATTTTCAAATAATTGTACTAAAGAATGTTCACTTAATTTATAAGCCGTCCCCTACCACTGGTACTCGTAAACACTTATATTTATGAACGTGAGTTTATGCACAATAGTAGGGGTGAGAAGTGCAATGAAAATAACTCTGACATTTATACGATTGAGGAAATAAATTCGAATAACATTATCAGTGTGTTTACATTCGATTGAAGTCGAATTGTTCAAGTAGATGGAGTGGGCTATTAAGATAGTGACGTAGATAAGACAATGACGTACAACAATCTTGGATTACGTTGACTTTTATTAATTTACAAATATGATATATAACAGTATCTATGCTAAGGTCAATTGATGTCATATAAAACTAAATACGTATATTAAAGCAATAATTTCAGTAACCCTAGAACAATATGCCTTTGGTGAATTCGAAGGGAATCTGACAAACTTACATCTTGAGAGAGTAAAATTGTTAACAAAATAAGAATAAATGCGCTTCGTCTTCTTTGACGTCGGTGGTTCGATGGATTAAGCACTTGAATTCCATTTTGCAGGTCCTGGGTTCGATTCCTGATTGTACCAATGTGTTTTTCGCTTTACATATGTGCATTTATATCAATGTACTTACGGTGAAGGAAAACATCGCGATCATTATGGAAATTTTTAATATCTAAACTCTGACTAACGGATACGTTTTTCCGAACTAGCATAGGATATTTAACAATATATAATAAATTTTAAATTAAAATTATTGTTCCATAACATTTTGCAATTTCTTTGGACTCTGTCTCCTATGGTAGGAGGTACTTGTTTATGCAATATGTGTGCATGTGTGTGTGTGACTGTGTGCGTGCGTATTTTTTTATTATTTGTTTCATTTTTGTGTTACTAAGATAATAAGATTGTCTGTTTTGTGCACAATTTTAGCAACCATTGTGTATATTTCTTAAATTTATAAATATTTAATTTAGCTATATCATTGTCAGACTGACCAAGTTATTATAATCTCGTTAGAATTATAATGTTAAAACACAAGTAAGGATTAAATAGGTATTATGAAATGTTAGCTTTACTTGCATTGACGCGTAATAAAGAAGTCTTCCGTGGCGCCATATCTTCCTAATCGATTAAAACTTATCAATATGTAACAGATAATCGATAAAGCATCGTCCATTTATAATATTAAAATACAAACCTCTTACAATTCAAGAGGTTTGTCTACTTTTATCCAACTTTAAAACAATAAAAAAATGTAATTTTTCTTTATGCAAAATTAATATCTACAGAGATTTTGATTTGTATCGTCGTTCTTTTGTTATGTCGAACAAAGGTTCGCAATCCAGTGCTCGAGGGTCGAGTTATGGCCGTTCGTAATTAAAACAACATATCCAAGAGGGATCGAACCAATTGTGATTTGATCAGCTGAATATATCAACCTCTATGATTCTCTGGAGTAGAACAAAATCAATTGGACATCTGCACAATACGATTAAAATTGCCTAGCGCACTTTTAGTACAATAATAAAACGAAAAGGTATTATTGTGAATACTATATATCAAAACGAAATAACTAACACACCGTAAAAAAAATGTACATTAAAACTGTATAAACGAAGGACTGTGTCAGTGCGATTTAAAAATCAATAAAATTATAGTATTAAACATATAAAGCTTTTCTAAAGTACTAAAAACTTGTTATCAGAAAACTAGACATGCTTTTGAACCTTGCTCTGAAATATCACAGTGAATCATGGTCTATAAACATCGTAACAACAGGAAATGCACGCTCGCCGGAAGGTAAATATTCAGGAATATTCTACAGTACAAAGAATGGAGCGGGCAAGAAAGATATCGTGGAAAACTTCTTGCTGCGAACATTACATAACTTAGAAAGAGCGTATTGCAACTAAGATTTTAAACAAACAATAGTTCATTTAATAAGCTATAATTTCAAAATAACTCCTATGACTTAGCAGAAGATTATGAATCGAATCACCTCGTTCTTCAAAATACTATGGTCGACAATTAGATTATTATAGACCCAATTTAGATTCGTTAATTGGTTACTAAGGGAGACCTTAATGTTTTATGTGTGAGAATTTATACATAGAGAGACAATTCTGAGTGCGGTTTTTTGGGCGTTCCACAATTTTATTTCATCAAGAATGAAATATTACAAATTTTAGTTTCACAATAAAGGCACTGCGATTTCTGGCGTCCCACAATCCATTTAATGAAGCAATCCCTTTTACGGCCCATAAAGAGCCCACAAAGTGATCCCTTGCCATCGGATACTAAAAAGCTTTAGGGCTTTACAGTTGTGTTAAAGTATCAAGGTTACATGCCAAACATTATTTGGTGGCATAATTTCCGTTATTTTGCTTTTTGCATTTCGCCAATAGTTATAGAATCTAAAAATTAAAAAAAATGAAGGAAGATCTTTGAATGTTTATAACTGCGAGTACTTCTCAATTAAGTCGGGTTATTCGTTAAATCACATTTATTCCGAATAATTAAAACTTAAGTAGCCTATGTGTTCTCGACTATGTTGTACAACTGTGCCAAATTTCAGCGAAATTGCGTTTGCGAGCGTTAAGTCGTTCCGGAGATACCTTCAAACAAACTTCCATCCATCTAAACATTCACATTATTAATATTAGCAAGAATAATCAGTCTAAATAACTGCTGATTTACTCAGACTCCGAAAGAATACGTATGGCTATCTTAGTTTTCGTTGTCAGAGTTATATCGATGACATTGGAAGTGTAGACCCAGTGTAGACATTTGGCTGTGTAGACCCAGTGTAGACATTTGGCATTGTAGACCCAGTGTAGACATTTGGCTGTGTAAACCCTCAGTAATAGCAACGTGAAAAGCCAAAAAAAATTGTTACTCGAAACGAACTGAACACTGAACATGATTTTAAATGACAGGGGTACAAAGTTGAAAAAGGCACAAAAGCTTTTGTGACTTTTGAAGCTTCACTAACTGCTGCCAGTTTTTATTTTTTATACACTGTAGTTACAAGCGGTATGATTTTCATCAAATTTTTGAAAAGTTTTATAAAACTTTAGTTAAAAATATTGTTTGAAAGCTAAACTGGGTGTCTGAAAAATATGTAAAAAAATATACTATTAAAAAAAATGTATTAAGTGGGAAGTACTAATTAAACCTTCATTTTTTTTAGTGTTTACCTCAAAGACGACTTCGCAGTTCTGCAATACCTGGAAGCAGGCTTCAACCGGGTAAGTTTTCCTATAAATTACACACACTTTTAATCTAAGTTTTTAACATAGCAACTACTAATATTTTTTAAATCAAAATCGTTCAATATTAGTGCTCGAAAAATACTCTAAAGAGTTTTATAGTATAGCGTAGGCGAATATTTGTTGAACATTTAACATCACATATGTTTACTCTTAGGTTTCCCCTACCGCCTTTCTAAATTAATAGTTACATTCAAGTTAACACAAATAAATAATAAAATATAAGATCTTATTTCCTCACTAAAATTGTAAGTTATTCTTGGAGCGTAGCGTTAAGTCCTAGATAATTTTTGCTGTGCGGAATGCGCAATATCTTCGTAATAGAATACCTGAGAAGCTTAGATGATGCTCATCTTAGCATACAGACAGACAGATTAACAGATGAAAGATATATTACATTTTACGATAATATGTCAGTTTCTATGACTTTATAATACCCTTTAGGTCATCATTCTCAAACGTTAAATTGAAGCAATAGCCTCTGTATTCTTCCAAACTATGTTCTATATCAGTGTCAAATTTCATCAAGATCCATTGAGCCGTTAGTTAAATATTAGATATGTATTAAACTAATAAAGTTCTACTATTTAAATTAAATATGCTAGGAAACTGATCAGATATAAAATAGATTTTTGAAAAGTAATAACAAAGATCACGCAATAGTCCCCAGCTGCAAATACTCGTGTCTGCTTCAATACACATGTGAATACTCCATCTGATAGAAACCAATCGTATTTAATAACAACACAGGTTGTTGCATCTATTTATAGCAACTTTAATGCGATCCGTGCAACACCTGCCTACTTTATTATTCAGACCAGGGATATCTTACTAATATTATACACGCAAATGTTTTGATGTATGTTTGTTAGAAGATATCTCCATAACCGCTCAACGGAACTCGGTAATATACTATACAGTTGTAGAACATAGTCTGGGAAAACACATATGCTTCTAGTTTTTTTTATTTCCGCACGGAAAGAGTCGCTGACGTCAGCTAGTAAATAATAATGGTTTGATAATGTCACATTTTATTTTTAGTTTTTACATCTCCAGTACAGACTAGAATCATTAATACATAGTATTGAATTTTAAATTAATAATAATAATTTTATTTTAATTTTATCATAGTGTAGACAATAAACTAGGTTATAATATTACTTCATTGTAAGTAATACGGATATAGAAAAGTTGTACATACTGAACAGTTATAAATCTTACTCTAGCACTGTTTATGCCAGACACCGTAAGTGACCATATTCTCCTCAGGTAATGGTGGAGACAGTGGGTGCCACAGCGTGGTGTGGCGAAATCTTGCAAGCACGCGCCGCGGCCGCTACGTCGCGTGCGCAGGTCGCCGCGGTCGCCGCTCTAGCAGCCGCTGCAGACCGTTGCCGGGATCTCGTTGCCGTCACTGACGACCAGCAAAGGATCCTCGTAAGTTCTACGTTAATTTATGATGGATTGGTATAGACATGAAAATCACGACTTGTTGACGCAAATTTACAACAACAAAATGATATAATGCTAAGTTTAATTTAATAGACCCGTATTCCATCTTCTTGTTGTTAAGATTACAGTTGCTAATTTATCTTTAAACATTTTAATGATTATTTCCCTGTCAATATGTAGTTATGTTCGCTAAGATCTTTTTCCATTAGTTAACGAACAAGTCGTGGGGCCGCATGCTGGGGTGGCGCGGCGACGAGGGTCCGCGCCCTCTGGCGGAGACGGTGGGCGGCGAGGCGCTGCGGCTTGCAGCAAGCGGTGCACGCGACTGGGAGGCGCCTGTCATGCTGCGCCGCCGCGCCGCGCCCGACCCTATCCTGCTGCCCTGCCGCGGCGCCTCCGTCGCACTGGCTAGGTAACACACACCACAACAACTAGAAACCAGTAATTAAGATTAATAAATCAACTATCCAAAGATTGTACAGTAACTTTTTGCGAACCAAATACCTACTAAGATGAATCGTGCAAAATATTTCGTCAATTGAATTACCATAAAATTTTCTTTGTATCGCATAGGAGCACATCTCACGTGGTGTTCGTTTGTGAGCCGGGCGGGGGCGACGGTGAGCGCGCTCGAGGTTCGCTACACTCCATCAGGCGGGGCTCGCTCGACGTGCGCTCTGTTGCCTCCGACGGCCTGCGTAGGACGTCCCTAGCTAAACTGCAGGGATTGCCGCTGGAAGCTCCTATCACTAAGGTATTGTAGATATAAATAGCAACCAATACCAATTAATAATTTGCGAGAAAGAAATTATTATCTAGATTTGCAACTCTCTCGCCCTGCTATATATAGCATATACACTTTAAGTTCAAAATTTTATACATTACAGAAAGTTGTAGATAATCGCAGAATTTCTCCAGAGAAATCACAGTAAACAAAACATATCGATAGATTAAGGTTCTGATTGTAGAAATCTACATGTCATTTCCATGAAATCAACATGAAAGCAGAAATTAGGTAACATTGTTTTACAGGTGATATCATTACTATCTGCGGCGACAGAGGGCGCCCCGCCCGCCACAGTCGCCTGCATTGAACGCGCGGTTGACATGCTGAGGACCTCCGAGCTATACTCTCCTCAGATGAAGGAAGACCCAAAACTCAGAGCTGAAGATCCCATAGCTACCGACCTCATTGGAGCGCTGCTGTCGGTGAGTACGCACACATGAAACATGTTTCTAAACACATTTTGTTTCTCGGTAACTGACGGTCTTAAAATGTTGTGACTAATATCCATTTAAAAGTTCAGTGCCATCGATTCGTCCTGAGATTACTTGAATATTAGAATATCGTAGTGGCATTTAATGTGTTAAGAAAATAGTGAAACATCGGAACATTGCAATATATCTCTTGTTTTATTATTAAAAACATATATGTAATTTTACATAGTTCTTAGTAATGTATATGATTTTCAAATATTTTTTCGTGTATACTGTTTCACTGGTTCCAAATAAAAAATATTGCGGAATTCTAGTGTATATTTGCGGGTTCTGTGAAATCCAATTTCAAAATCGTTGTCACAAAATATAAAACACGAGACGAATATTTCATGTCATTTTAATTTTTTCCCAGATATTTCTCTACTTTCATGTATTGAATGAAATAAAATAAGATGTGTATTTCAAAGACAATTTTTTCTAGTTAGTTATTGTTTTCAGATCACTGAACTTTTTACTTTATAGATAAAAACCAATCGACTCTACCAAATTACATATGTCATAAATATATAAAAAGTTTGAAAATTACCTTAAAATATACAAATATCTACTATAATATATTTATTTACTTTAATATATTTATTATGTCGACTAATTATTATTTATTTGCTTACGATCCTGAATAACTACGGACAGCGGGAGCAAGTGAACACAAATTTGTTCTTTATGGTAGGAAGTTATGTTTATCGTAACCTGCAACTGTTTTAACCTTCACGTCTTGCCTGAAGTACCTCAATAGAATAGTTGCCATGGAATTCTTATGCGTTTAAGCAGAGTTCATTTTATAAAAAGTTCTTTATATCATAAAATACTCAAAGAAATAAAAAAAAATCTTCGACGTTTTTACGGTGAAGGAAAACATCGCGATTACATAAAGATGTCTGTGAAGTAAACAACCCGCTCTGGAGTTTCACTAAAGCCTAGTCATCCTTAACTTAGGGTAGGCTCCGAGCTCCTCAGTATGAACATATAGTGAGCTGATGATGATACCTCAATGAAAATAATCTGCCAAAATCGAACACCGACAGTTAGATTTTTTTTTTAGTACAATAAAACCGAGCATTTAATTTCTTTGTTCAGCCATCAAGAGATATTAAGGGAGTAATAATTGATTAAAAAAGTTTCTTTGAAAAACAATCAGAACATCGTTAAATTTTGTGTCGATTGCTCGTGATAATCAAAGTTTGTAATTACATCGCACGCAGACACCTGTCAAAACGTCCATGAAATTGTGGATAAAAGATGACAAACAATAAATATTGACTTTTAATTTTGTATTTTTTGGAAAAATAATTTTTAAATATAATAAAATAATAACGTTTTATAATAAATAAAGTCAAATAAAGTAATGTAACAATAATTGAAATTTCTTATAATGTTTTGACAACGATTTTAAATAATATTTAAGAAATTATTATTTTTTAATATCTACACAATTATGTTCTCTGCTTAAACCACCCTTCTTTTAATAGACAGGTGTACTTTATCTATATTCTATTTCTTCCGTTTTCTTGCTATATATTATTTTCGTATAATATTTATGTCTATATATTTATTTCTATTATTTTTTTAACTTGAACTTTTATTTACTATTGGTACTACCAACTTCAGCATGTAAACATAAACTATACTGTAACACGAACGTCTACTATTTAATCTTAGATTTAGATGAAGGTAGATTTGATTCTTTTTAATATATTATAGAGATATAATGCAGTGTCAATATTTGTTTAGCAAGGACCGACTAACGTGTTGTCTTCGCGGCGGAGCAGCAATGACTCAACAGTTGTCAGGTCTCAGACGAACAGGACTAATATCAAACACAAGGTAAGTGAACTTTTATTGTAACGAGTGGAGGTATAACCTTTTATATAATTTTATCTTATCTTATTTTTTTAACCAAAATGTTTATGTTCAGGCCAAAGTGGGAAATTGTAGATGACGCAAAAATAACAGTCTTAAGCCAACTACAAAACATAACATTTTATTTGTTTTAAATCAACTTATCTCAAGTTCATAGTACTCTTGGTTTTTTGTCAACAACTTTACCCCTTTCCAACAGACGTCAGGTCAGCTTCGTGAGCTCCTCGACACCGCACTGAGCTGGGAGTTCGAGATCTTCCGTCTTGAGGAATTGACGCGCGGGCGTCCGCTGGCGCACCTTGGGCTGGCGCTGCTGGGCGGACGGTTTGATGTTTGCGCCGCCCTCGAATGTGACGAGCGCACGCTACTCCACTGGCTTACCGTCATCGAGACAAATTACCACGCGGTTAACACGTATCATAACTCCACGCACGCCGCGGACGTACTTCAGGTAAACTATTAATTTTGAATTTCTCCACAATTATAAAGGCAACATATATTGAACTTAATGAGTAGTGTATCACGCATTTTTAATTCATTTAGTTCATCTTTAACATTGGACTAGCAATCGAGAAATATGTTTTTCGGATCGATTTTAAGTATCGAATCTTCATATCTTCATCATCTTTTTTATGCAAAAAGCAAATCTCGTCAAACATAACTATCGTAACGTAACATCGTAACATCGTAGCTAGAATACTTTTACATTTAATCCGCCAAAGCATTTTTACTCTAATGTTAGTTTCCCGGATTACAAGGAAACAGAGTACTTAGGATGCTTGAGTTAAACAAGATGGTCCACTCAACTGAGTAAATCGGTAGAGGTCCCGAGAGGGCTTATTCAGTATTACGATTCGCAAGCGTATGAAGTGGCGGAACCACATTTCGTAGCTTACGTTAGATTAAATTGTATTCACGTGTTTTACTTAGTTATTTCTGCAACTATTTTGCTTTAATTCAAAACAATACTAAAATGATAACATTGTTTAGTTGCGAATCGCGTTGCACTTTTTTAGTATTGTACTGAATATTTTATTAATGACAAAGTTTTATATTAACAAAATGCAGGAGAAGTGTGTAGGAATTATATATTCATTTGTATTGTACCACAGGCCGTAGCATACTTCTTGGAGAAGGATCGTCTGAAGACACTTCTAGAGCCGCTGGAGGCCGCAGCGGCGCTGATCGCCGCGGCCGCGCACGACATTGACCACCCCGGCACCTCGTCCGCCTTCCTATGCAACGCGCGGCACCCGCTCGCTATACTTTACAATGACATCTGTGTGCTCGAATCCCACCATGCTGCGCTCACCTTTAAACTCACACTTAGTAAGTTGAAATATAGTTAGACTTCATTCTATAATAAACATTATCCGAATCAACCAATAATCGTAAATAAGTCAGAAGAATTGCTTGCAGAAGGCTTAAAGATGTTAAATTTCTGGAGTAACGTCTTCGTAAAAGTAGACGTAGCTAAAATCAAAATTTGTTTCCTTTGAAAGGAGAATATAGATAAGAAAAAAAAGAAGAAAAGAATTAAGGAATACATATATGTGAAATCGCACTCACAGACGATTTTTTTTTCATAGATGATGATCGCGTGAACATCTTCAAGAATCTCGACCGCGACACGTACAAGACTGTCCGTCACAACGTCATCGACATGGTGCTGGCCACCGAGATGACGAAACACTTCGAGCACCTCGCCAAGTTCGTCAATGTCTTCTACGCCAAATCCAGCGGCAGCAAGGAGGACGGCATGCACACTGACGTTAGTAAAGAAAACTATATTTCATCCTGCCAGTAACGAATACAAACAATTTTTCTTTTTTTTTGTTATCCAACCTCTTTTTTCACTTTGATTTTTTTTTACTAGGAACCTTTGTCTCTGGACACAACAGCACTATCTCTTCCTGAAAACGTAATCCTAGTGAAGCGAATGATGATCAAATGCGCTGACGTATCCAATGCATCGCGACCTCAGAAGTTCGCATTTGAATGGGCAAGGAGGTATTATAATTTTCTTTATTAAATCACAGTATTAAAAACAACTTGTTTCACATAAATAGTAATGAAATGTTTTCATTAACGAAGAAATATACTCGTCAAAATCTGACTGAAACAATTTTCGGCTCTACTTAGTTACACTTATAGTCAGTTAAGAATAAGGGACAAAAAGAATAAAAAAGTGGCAAGTGTTTTGATCTCTTGACCCAATACGATTCATTGCATTGCTGTGTTCCGTTTACGTCAGTTCCCTCTCCCTTGATTCTATGTCTTTGTGGTGTAGGATCGCGGAGGAGTACTTCCTACAGACGGAGGAGGAGAAGGCGCGCGCGCTGCCTGTCGTGATGCCTATGTTTGACCGCGCCACATGCTCCGTGCCGCGCTCACAGATCGGGTTCATTGACTACATCATTATTGATATGATGGAGGCCTGGGCGGGTTAGTAATGTAGTTTTACTTAATGCATTTTCTTAAACATACGGAAAAAATAGGTCAACAAATCATCAGTAAGTGAACCCTATTACCGCGACTGTTCAATCTTTAAATATTTACTGACCCATTTGTTATAAAGATAAATAGAAAGAAAGAAAGGAAGGAAGGAAGAAAAAAACATTTATTTTCACACATAAAACATATACAAATCAATAGCTTGACCTGAAAAATACATAGTCTAAGATTTAAAAAAAAATTTAAATGGATAGAATCCCAGTAAACTTTGGTAGTCAATGATTATTGTTAATGAGATGAGCATCATAACCCGAATTGACACTAACTGACTAACTTCCTACAGCATTCATTGATATGCCGGAGTTGGTGAATCACGCGCGCAACAACCACACGCGCTGGCGGGAGCTGGACGAGGCCGGCGTCAGCTCGATGGCGGACGTGAAGCGAGCCATGCGCCAGCAGGCCATACAGGCCCCGCCTACTTCCACTGCAGAGCCCACCGCCGAGGAGTGAGCGCGCAATGGATGCGAACTTGACGCAAGTTAACGATGACCCCGATATCAATTTAGTACAGTCTCCTAGGTCATACACAAAGTACAGTCGGCTACGAAAAGTTTGTAACAAAAACTTGAAGACGAAATATGTGCGACTGGAAATTATTTAACGGGAGCAACATATTATATTTCGTGCAAAATAGGATTCCAATGTCATCGCGGTTAACCCGTCTCTATGTAACCTTCTCGTTCGTTTTAAGTAAATTGACACCTAGTTTGGAATATGGATAAAATGCTTTACCTGTGTAATATAACTTTGGAATAATCTAATAATAGGTATATGACAAACCTGCATTGCATCGTGCCACGAATAAATGTTATGTAAGTTAGCACTTTGAAAATTGTTTTACGATGCGCCACTGTTCTATGTTTCGTATCTCATATTTGAAACTAGTTTTGTAATCTAATAATGTGCTTACGCTACAAGTTACGAAATAATTGTTATCTCTTTTTTTTCGAAGATAATGAACGGGATGACAAATATTTTTGTAATGTTTCGCCAGTGTCAACACAAAATAAGGTGAAGGCAGGATTGAGATGTATGATGGACAAAGAGCACGGTACGCATTTGGGTGTCAACGTAAAAAGTCTGAATTGGATCATAGGCACGCTCGTTGCCTGACGGATGTGTCCGAAAATACGCTTATTTTATACTACTTGTAACCATATTAGTATAAGTAACATTAAATTCTATTGTTATCTACATATTCGTATAGTATTAGGATAATATTTGATTCTATATATTTTTCATTATAACTGTCATATTGTGTGAATATTTGGTTCATTGATAATGTAGATTGGTTTTTCGCGTAGTTTGAAATGAAGGCAAGTATTATATTATGCCTTTGGAACGGGTAATATATCTTGTGTAGGTAAAGTCTTTTTTGATTTATTCGTGTCCGTGATTAGAGTGCCATAGACATTTAACGTCAGCCAATCGCAAAGCGACAGAGTTTGTCTCTGATCGCGCGCCATGACAGTACTATTAACGTTCTTTTCAATCGCCATACGTGATACAGTAATCGTTTTTTCCTAACACTAAATTGGTCCACTTTTAATACTTGAGCTTTCAGAAAATTCCTATTTTTTATAATAACTTTTATATAACCTATTTACCGACTATTTCGGCATCGTCATATCAACATTTCCAAGTTTTTTGATCGATTTAAAAATTCCTCCGACGTAACTTTTTTTATCTATAGTTTCATTTCTACTTTCCCTTCCGAGGGTATTTAAATTTGATACCCAACAATTATATTGTATGTTTATAAATCTGGTAATATTTAAGCTACTATATACTATTCGCTTCAACTTAATGTACGTATTTATTAATTTATTATATTCGAATAAGAATAAATGATACGTCTATAGGATTTGTTAAGATTTTTAAATTCGTCTTTATGACGCTGGTACGTATAAGTAATCTGTATTGATGTAGAAAGTTAAAAAAACATTATTGATTTTTTTTAAGAATACGCTTTCTTGTGCTCAATGTCAATAAAAACGGTCTAAAATTGAAAAAAAAAAATACTTCAATGTTTGTATACATTATACTTACCTACATCTACCAATATTTTATATGATAAATATAATATTAGGTATGTATATCTTACTGTAGATCAGTGTGTTCAATCTCATATTTGTAATATAAACAAAACGCACTGTTATTTGTGCAGCTGACTGTACGTGTATTTTTTTAATGATACAGCTGAATAGCTCAATTTTCCTAAAATTCATTTTAATCTTATGTAGCACAAAGTAAATATATAAATTATTGCTTCCGAATTGGAAAATCCTAAGCTATTCATGTTTATAATCAATGTTTATATATTACATAATATACTATTATATATACTACGTTAAGATGAGAGTGTGTGAGGCGGGGGGCTGGTCCCTATATTTATTTGTGGAATTAATGATATATTGTTATGGAATTTTATACGCGATTATTATATGCGTTATATGAGTAGCAACTAATGAATGTTAAAATTATATAAAAACGGCTAATATACGTGAGTGTTTAGCCGTTTTTATATCAGTTTATTATAATGTCTTACGAAAGTTTGAATAATTTAATGAATGTTGTATTAAAACTAAATATTTTCTATATTGTATAACATCTTCGTCTACAATCATCGTTTTAAGTCTTCAAAAACAATTACATCAATACATTCATCCAAATTAAATATTCGAATATAATTTTAAATCATTAAAAATCAATTAAAACGATTTTTACAAGTAGAGATGACATTCCGACAAAAGAGTATAACGATATCTTTTATCGGAGGCCAAGACCCACTTTGGGTCGATGCGCCAGCGGAGTAAGTAGAGTAAAATCCCATATTTTGGCTGGGGAAAATTACTGAATGGGATAACATTCGGGTTTTATCATATTTAGTGTATGTTATAATACATCATACGTAAAACAATAGAATGCAAACACTGTGAAAAATGTTTATCATTTTGTCAATGTCAGCAAGATGACCAACCATCTGTTGAAATGTTATAGATGTCCAATTACGATCAAGATACTTCTACTAGCTATTCCATCACAATGCACAAAAATCTTTTGATAAAACAAGAAGTCGTCATTTTCTTGTTAAATTAAATTACTGGTTTTATTTTAGCTCCTGAATCAGAGCTACATATTTTGACGTTTCGAACAAAAGGCAACGGCTAATGCCCTATATACGCTGGCACGAATTATGTGCGCATCGCAAAATTTTTCGCTGCATTTGTTTTAAAAATAAAAAAAACAAATGTAATTTTTTGAGATTATATTAATTACGTTAAATAATAAAAATACCCGTATATTGGGGTTTTTCTCTATTAGGTAAAAAACCTCGGTATATTCCCGTTGTTTTTCCCATTACCCATCACTAGTAATAAGCTTAAAAATCTAAATGGTTTATTATAAGTTTTATGTTACCTACAGCAAATAAGTTTAAGTTAGTTTTGAACTGTAATAATTTATTCTACATGACAAAAGCACACATGAGACTTAAAGCGATGAGATATATATTTTTAACTGTAGTTTTGCATTGAAATATTTTATTAATGTTTAAGAGTTGTTTATTGCTTCAACTGTAAGACTCAACTAGTTACACTACAAATTCAATTAACAACAAGAAAATGTATATTTTACTTATACGAATTTATTTATAAATATTATATTCTACGTCAGCTTTATGGTTATTCGATTATCAAAACTTTTGCAAAGAAAAACCATTATTTACAATTGAATCAATAAACAACTGGAAAGCATTTTTAATCAATGTCTATGTTCGAAATAATAAAATTGACATTGTTAAGTGTTGTAAATAAAGAAATATTTGGAACATGTGTTAGTTTTATTTCTATTCAACGTAATTTACCTCCTAATCTTATTTCTAAATATCTTATAAAGACACGTCCGAACCTCATTAGGCTCGTAACTATTGATTCCTATCTATTTCTAAATGAACAAACATGACAATGTTTGATATTATAAGTGTGCTAAACTCTGATCATATGTAAATATGCCTGATTAGGCGTGTGTATTTACTGCATAGGTTCCTACTTTTACTTTGGTACTAAACATACTCTTTTATGAAAAGAAAATAATTTTGATGTATATAAAAGAAAGTCGTGTTAGTTACATTATTTATAACTCAAGAACGGCTTTACCGATATGGCTGAAAATTGGCGAGGAAGTAGCTTAGAGTCAGGAGACGGACATACGATACTATTTATTCATTTTTTTTCGAATTTATGCCTTGAAGAGCTGCTTATTTAACTTACTAATATTATAAATGCGAATACACTAATTAATTTTTTTTTACATATCCACTCGGACGGAGTCGCGGGCAACAGCTAATATTCTATATAGATTTAATTGATTTATTTACTGTTCGTTAGTCTCGCTAAAACTCGAGAACGACTGAACCTATTTATCTTATTTTGGTCTTGAAATGTTCGTGGAGAGCTAGGGAAGATTCAAAAGGTAAGAAAAATTCGAATAATTGCCGGAAACTAATTATATTTTTACATACATTTGGTTATTCTGTCATTATTATAAAAATAAACTACTATCAAAGTAAAACAAACATTAAAAAATCTTTAAAACATATTCATACCAACTAGACCTCTACTAATAGACTCCTAATAAACTACTAATGAGTCCTTAGCGCCAGTTTCATGGCTTATCTTTAATTTCAGATAATAATACTGTCTTTCAATTCCTTGTAATCTTGAGTTTATTATTTTCCTCATTGGAGAGTTTTATTTTCATATTTTGGACTTTAATGTCACGTTTTATTTCTCTTATTTCATTTTTCAGTTCAGACTCTAATAATTCTACTTTATTTTCTATAGATAAAATTTTAGAAAGGGTAAAGAATTCTCCATAGCTTGAAGTAATTTCTAGTCTTTTAATTGGATTTTCCATACCCAATTTTTCAGTTATGTTTAATTTTAGCGCTGCTTTTTCATTTTTCAATTCTTGCTCCAAATTCTTAGATTGATTTAGTATATTTTCGATATTTTCTCTAATACTTGTAAAAAAATTGTAGCTGTGTTCAATATCTTTTCTTGCGAAATTAACGACAGCTGCTACTGTATTTACTTCGTTTTGCAGCGCAGCCATTATCTCCTTAGTTAAATTTAAATTGTCTTCTACAAAGTTAATGTCATTTTTTAGACTTTTCTTTTGTTCAACGGTAAAATTGGAACTTTTATCAAAAGATTTTTCACTTTTGATTATATCTATTTTTTTTGTTATCGACTCCATGTTTCTTGTGTTATGCGCTAATTCCTTTGCAATAGCCGAAGTTTGGTTCATTAGATTAAAAATTTTATCAACATCAACTGAAATCGTACCGGAGAATTGTTTGAATATTCCGTAAAAATTATTAAGTTTCGATTTCAGAGTGTTAATTTTCTCTTTCATTTGATGAATCCTTAATTTTGTCATTTCTAATTCAATTTCTTTGGTTTCATAATCTGTGTTCAGAGGCAATATCATATACTCCATGTACACGACATCATTTTTCAATTTAATCGCATTATATTCCAGTTCAAACAACTGTTCGTATGATGTTTTAAATCGTTTTGGAAAACTCTCAATCTCTTAGTGTAAAACGTTACGACGGTGGCTATTATAATTTATAGTGGTAAATAGGTTGTCGATTTCCTCATTGATCCCACTCTTATTTGATTCCAGACGTTCAATCGTAATATGTAGTAATTGTATCTTGTTTTTCAAGATCCTGAATTCCTTGTTGTTTCACTTCTTTGTGAACAAGGCCCGGCTTAACCTGAAAATGAATAAAACATTTTTATATACTGGTACCACAAAATAGTTTGAAAAATAAATATTTTTTTTTACTAATATTTCTTGCATCATTCCAACTAAGCTCAAGGCTTGTGCTAATATGGTTTACGACATTAGTCGAATGGCGAGCTTCGAACCCCCAACCTCGGGATCGGAAATCCGAACCATTAGGCTATTGGCGCTTCAAACTTATGAACGTACAGTGTTACGTACGTTCATTACGGAACAAAAAATGCTAATTCTTACAAACATTAAGAGTTAAACTTATTTTATAAAAATAAACACACTGATTAGGATTTTATTACATATATCGTTATATAAAATACGTGTTTATTTACAGCAACTACAAGTTAATATCAATCAACTGTTAAGTTTCTTAAAGACGAATTAATTTTACTCGTGAAAAAAAATGTCTCCCTCAGTATGCAGTAAAGTATCGAAGTTCATACAACTATTAAGGTACTTACATCATTCTGTGTTTTGTTTTTTAAAAAATTAAGTATAATATCAGTTTTTTTCGGTTGTGGATTTGCATTGACTAATGCCGCTATTGCAACTCCAATTATTAAAACCCGCAATATTTTCAATTTGTGTACTCTGAAAAAAAAAATATAGTATTAACTTACATCAATTTTCTTCCTAGTACAGTGGAGGATGGCAGCATAGAATTATTTGTACAGGGTATAGGCCATTAAAGCTATGAAATTATTTAAAAAAACTTGCAGGACAAAACAAAAAATAAAAACAAAAATAAACAAATATAAATTTAGAGCTTTGAGAAACCCAGACTCACCCTTTGGTGTACTGGTGTGACTTGTCTGGATGCTGACTGGTTATTGAAATATTCTGGAACGGTACGCCTTATTATATAGCATGTCCCAAATTTCAACGATAAAACGTTAATGATGTATAGCCAGATCGATAACTACACGGGGAAAAATACAAAAAAATTCCAAATCTTTTTGGTGGAGGGTATCAAATTATAAGAAAAGTTGCAAAAGTTAATATAACTTTTAACCAAAAACAGTTGGATTTTTTAATGTATTTTTAAACCAACCAACCAAAAAATAACCATAAATGGTAACTTAATTTTAATTTAATTTTTTAGTTATTTGCAATTTTATGTTATTATAAGGTTATTGTTTTTGGTTTAATCTTTATTACCTGTTATAAAAACTTTTTCTTTCTTTCTTCTTCTTCTCCATGTAGTTATCGATCCGGCTATACACCATTACCGTTTTATCATTAAATTTTGGGACACGCTGTATACGGCTCTGTTAATCATCGCAGAACGAGAACAATTTTCCCTATGAGAACAAAATAGTTAATTAAGTTAATTATTATGCATTATCACGTACTCAGTAGGTATGTATGTTAAATTATCACAAATATCTGTTGCGTAATATTTTTGGTTTTTTGTCTGTATTCTGGTAAATCCAAGGAGATTAACACACATGTGCTTTATGGGGTTTTCTGTAATTTTGTTTTTACAGCTGAAAACAGATTACAAATTTTATTGACATCGAATGAACGGAATATATATATATAAATTAAATTTAAAAAACACAACTTTTTTATACACACATATATATATATATGTGTGTTTTGCGTATGCGCACGTCGCAGCAGGACCATGGCATCTTTTGCAAAGAAAAACCTTTATTAATTAATATTCAACCGGAAAGCATTTTTAATGAATGTCGATTTTTTTTTGTATCATAAGGTGGCAAACGAGCGAGCGGTCA